ATTAGTGAAATGCCCAAAGCAGGGAGGTATTAAGGGGCTTATGGTTCATTAATGAAGTAATTTTGACTTTGTATCGTTGGCTAACTACACCAAGATGACACTGAACCTGGTCTGTCTCCCCACTCCACAGGCAGCCTCTCCTAGTCACCCCAGCCACACCCATGCCCCTGCCCTCCTCTCACTTGCCCATCTCTTCAGGGCATCTTTGGGTCCCCCTCTATTTCTATCTCAGACTCCAATTTCTAGTTTACCCTCCGTGGTACATTTTGTGCTCAGGCTCCACTTGCAGCAGAGCCACCCACCCCAAGCCAACCCTGCAGGAAGCACCCCTCTGAAGGACAGCAATGCCCTTACAAAGAAAGAACTCAGCATTCTCAACAGTACAGAAAGCTTTACTCATGACCTAATGCTTGGTAGGCATTCCAGCACAATCTCTCTCTTCCTGTGACACTGGGGATGGAGGCCAGGCCTTGTGCACACACAAGGCCCTCACTCTGCCACCGAGCCACATCCCCAGCACAGATTTCCAGCACTAGAACAGATGAGCAACAGCTCAGGCCCACTAAGGTTATTAATGTACATACTTTTTTGTTTTTGGTCCTTTGAAACAAGGCCTAGTGGTCCAGGGTTCCTCAAATTCACTGTAGAGATGACAGGGACCTTAACTTCCCTGTTAGTCCCTACCCTCCAAATGCTGAGCTCACAGGCGTACGTCTTCAAAATAAGCAGAGCCTTTACAAGAACCTCTACTAATAGCTAATAAATATTAACCAGGTATCTATTGATGTTAAGCGCTTTACACATCCTACCCACACAGCAATGTGCACAACACGTCATCCTAGCTTACAGAAAAGGCTTAATACATCATCATCGCCATCATCTGTTAGCTACTTTATTTATTTGAGACAAAGTCTCACTCCGTAGCCTTGGCTGTCCTATGTGGGACAAGCTGGCCTGTTTCTGCCTCTGGAGTGATGGAGTTAAAGGCATGTGCCACCATGCCCAGCCTGTTAGTTACATTTTTGTGTCAAAGAGAGGCATGTAAAACAGCTCGGCAGATAAAGGAGCTTGGGTTCTAACGACCTGAGTTCTCACAAGATGAAAAAACAGAACTGACACCCACAAGTTGTCCTCAGACCTCCACGTGTGCTCCATGACACAGATGCACACACACAATAACCAACACGTAATTAAAAGGAAAAGAAAATGGGCAGAAAGACTAAGCAGAACAACACAACTCCAACAGAAACGGCACTGGAGCGCAGGGCAGCCACTTGGACAGCCGGGCTCCCTGGCTTCCCAGCCTCAAGGACAGCGAGCACTGTGTCTACACGCAGAGCACTGTGTCTACACGCCGAGCGCTTGCAGGGTAGCGGCAGGCAGGTGGGCTGCAACTCCTGGTCCTCACCCGCTTGGCTGACAGGAAGAATTCAGGTTGTGGACAGCCAGGCCTGACCCTACAAGCCAGGGCAAGTCTTTACTCACAATCACTACTATGAATGTCACACTTTGGACATAATTTACGTGAGAACCCATAGAGATGCATAAGGGAGGAGGAGGAGGAGCCAACTCCTGCAAGTTGACCCCTGAGCTTCACACAAACATCAAAACACACACACAGATGCAATAAACACAGTGACAACCCCCTCCCCAAACCTCCCGTCAGCCTTGATAGAGGTGCGCTGTATCAAGACCAATATTTTTATGTAGCCCTGTCTGGTCTTGAACTCATGAGGATCTTATGGTTTGGCTACAATGAAATTTTTAAAGTGAAGTATGACAGTGATAAGGAAAGAATCAGACTGTATCATTCAGGAATAAATGAGGTTTAAATCATAGCAGTTAGGAACTCTATAAAAACTGGCTACAGAAATAGCTCACTTGCTGATATTGCAGAGGACCAGGGTTCGGTTCCCAGTGACTCATGGTAGCTCACAACTAAACACAGGAATGCTACACAGGAATGCATGTGAATACCCATCAGAAATCTAAAAGAAAAAAAAATTCTACAAAAAAGCTTAAGGATTAATAAATTTAATGCTAATTTGCTGTCAAGGAATCCATTCTCCAAACAGTTCCAAAAAAACCACCCCAGAAATCAGGTACGCTCAACTTTAGTCCCAATCAGGCATCCAACAACACAAATCACAAAGCCAACTTGGCTTCTGTGAGCTGACTACCAAGCTCTACAACACTAAAGGGGGCCTCACTGAGCCACAGGCTTTGTTTACAGGGTTGGATTTGGTGGTCCTGGCTAGCCAGCTACCTCTTGTAACACAAATTCAGAGATATAGTGCACAGTTCAAAGCTTGAGAGGGGAGATTCTTAGATTTTTGGCATTTAAGTCTTTTATTCATCTAATCTTTCTTTCTTTCTTTCTTTGAGACATGGGCTCATGTAGCCCAGGCTGGCCTCAAACTTACTTTGTAGCTGAGGATAACCTTGAACATCCAAACCTCCTGCTTCTACTTCCCAAGATTCATCATGCCCAGTTTATGCAGTAAGTACAACATCTAGTATAGAACACAACTCCATGCCTGTTAGACAGTCTGCTGAGTGAGCCCAGCTCTGCTTCTAAGTGTAGTGTGTCCTGGTTCTGTCGAGTTGCTTCCCCGTGTGACTCCCAGTGCTGGTAGGAAGAGGGGTGCCCTCCCACGGTACCCTGACTAGGGCCAGAACTGACAGCAGACACAGTGGCTGCTCTCTCTCTCTCTCTCTCTCTCTCTCTCTCTCACACACACACACACACACACACACAATTAAGATTCCAGATGGGCAGGGCGTTGGTGGCACACGTCTTTAGTCCCAGCGTTTAGGAGCAGGGCAGGCGGATCTCTGGAGGTTCAAGAACAGCCTGTTCTACAGAACTAGTTCCAGCATAGGCTCCAAAGCAATACAGCAAAATGCAGTCTCAAAAAACTAAAAACTAAAAAAAAAAAAAAAAAAAATTCCAGATGGGTGGTGGTTGTGGTGCCTTTAATCCCGGGACAGCCTGGTCTACATAGTGAGTTCCAGGACATCCAAGGCTACATAGTGAGACCCTGTCTCTAGTAAACACCAGTGCCACCATGTCTAGGCAAGCCAGTGCCTGTCCTCACTGGCACAAGTAAAGCGCTCCAAAGGAGCGTTTCTCTGGCTCCTACCCCAGTTTAATAGCAGCGAAAGGCTCCAAAACCCCCAGGGGTTTAAATGTCCTTCTGAGCACCTGCAGCTACCTAGGTTGAGCAGTTCTGGCTCACAGGTAAGCTGCTCAACTGCTAACAATTCAGTCTAGTTAGGAGTGTGAGGGGCTTAAAACAAAAGAAAACAACAACCGGTCACACACACACACCTGGCTTCTTTTACCACTTTGCTCAAGAACCAGGACATGGCCGTGCACCCTGGCTCTTGGGAGGTAGAGGCAGCCAGATCTCTGTGAGCTCAAGAACAGCTTGCACTATACACAGCAAGTTCTAGGCCAGCCAGGGCTTCCCATTGAGACCCTATCTAAAAACAAAGCAAACCAAAACATAACAACCCAGGGTAAAATCTACAGCTCCATTCAACCTCTGAGTGACTAAGAGTTAAAGGGACAGTCTGTTCAAAGTCTGAGAGCTGCTCCGCTGTAAACCCAGGTGCCCTACTGCAGTTTAACACAAGCGTCTACAAAACATTTAAACTTCATGGGGCAGAAGCAGTTGAGAAAAAAAATGCATACTCCAGGTGCCCAAGAGCACTGTATGAGAACAACAAGCTTTGTAGGACGTGGAGGGGTAAACTGAGGCAGCAGCACAGCTCAAGAGCTGGGTTTCTGGAGTTGGATGAATTACACCGCTGTTCCCTCAATTACAAATACAAATGCCGGATTGCAGCCGGAGGTGGTGGCTCACGCCTTTAATCCCAGCACTTGGGAGGCAGAGGCAGGAGGATCTCTGTGAGTTCATGGTCAGCCTGGTTTACAAAGCGAGTTACAGGACAGCTGGAGCTACACTGATAAACCCTGTCTCGGAAAAACCCATAAAGTAAGTAAATAAAATAATGGACTGTTACGAGGGCAGCTATGACGATGTAATGACACACTGTTCTTTCAGCAAGTGGCCGCGCACAAAACAGTTCCTCAAACATGTGCTGGCAATCAGCACCCTGACCAGCTTTGCTGAGGTTAGTAGCCCAGATCGACTACTTTTGGTCATCAGCAGAAAACTTGAAAGGTAGGCTCGTCTGGCAGGGCTGAAAGTCTTGCACCCAGCAGCATCGACATCACCAACCTGACCTTGGAAACCCTTCTCTGACATAACTGTCATGGCGAGTGAGAACCTACGAGAAATGTACATGAGCCAGATGGTGCAGGCCTCTCGGGTCACTTTTTATTCTCGAGGAGGCAGTGTGGCCACACTGGACCTGGGTGCTGAAATCCCGGTCGGGGCGCCGTTGCGTCCCTGGCTCGTCCACACTGGGCCCCTAGACTCGAGGCTGGGGAGGTCCTGCTGTCTAATTTCTGGGCGGTGGCCCGCGGGCAGATCTAACTTGGGTGGCAGAGACTTGGGGTCCGGCTGAGTTCCGGGGAGGCTGCCAGGCGGCCTTGACCTTGGTGCGCAGGGACTCGGTGTGCCGCCTGCTGGCCCCGGCCGCTGACCCTAAGCCCTCGTCTGGGGCAGGTGTGTGTGTGTGTGGGGGTTGTGGGACCGGATCGCGGGGGTCGGGGGACCCAAGGCAGCGGTTCCCCCGGGGTCCCTGTCCCCGTCCGGCAAGTGCGTGGGTTCGGGCCCGGCCCGGACTCGGTGCACGCCACGATCGGGCCGCGGAGAGCCGAGCAGGCGCTGGGCCAGCGCCAGGGCGCGAGGGTCGCGGCGGTGCGAGCAGCTCGACGGCTGGCGGGCACGCACGGCGGCGGGGTCACGCGGCCTCCGCACCGGGCCGCGGCCTCCCCGGGGCGGCTGCGGGGCCACAGCCGCCCGCCCGCCCCTCCAGAGCCACCGGGCCGGGCGTCAGCCCCGCCGACGCCGCGCCGCGGGCCTCACCTCCCTGCGCACGTTCAGCAGTGAGTAATAGTCTTCATTGTCCAGCTCCTCCTCGCTCAAGGCCGTCGCCATCTTCGCAACCTTTCACCCCGCCAAACCGGCGAGGCCGTACTCAAGAAGGCCCGGCGCTGCGCGGCGCTCCCTGTGCCGCCCCCGCCCGCACCACAGCGGCCCCTGGCGGCCCGGAGCCACATGGCAGCCCGGGGAACGCGCCTGCGCACTACGCCCCCATGCGGCCGAGGCCGGGAACTGGGAGGTGCGGGGGTGGGGTGGGGGTGGGGATGGTGTGTGTGTGTGAGTGTGTGTCTGCGTGTCTGTCTGTGTGTGACTGTGTGTCTGTGTGTCTATGTTTCTGTCTGTGTGTGTCTGTGTGTGTGTTTGTGTCTGTGTGTATGTCTGTGTCTGTGTCTGTGTGTCTATGTCTGTCTGTGTGTGTCTGTGTCTATGTGTGTGTGTATGTGTCTGTATGTCTGTGTGTCTGTGTGTGTGTGTGTCTATGTGTCTGTATGTCTGTGTCTCTGTGTGTCTGTGTCTATGTGTGTCTATGTGTCTGTATGTCTGTGTGTCTGTGTGTGTGTGTGTGTGTTGGGGTGGCACTAAGCATTTCCCTGGACTGTCAAGGGAGATTGGGAAGGTCACCAGGCTGTTATTCCCTGGTTCTGAACCAGGGATCCCTCTGGTTTGCTGTTTGTTGCAAGGCCACCCAGAGCCCACACATTCATCTCCCCAGGCTCATCCGCATGGGAAGCTGCTTGTGGACCCACTTGCTGACTAAGAAACCTCCAAAATGATTGCTTATACTTCCTTGGTCCACAGAAGCATTCCTTCCTGTTCAGAGAAGGATCTCCTTAGCTTAGGTGGTTTTTTTTTTTTTTTTTTTTTTTTTTTTTGCATTGCCCTAAATTTAGGAGCACCTGGCCATTTTTTTCTGTTTCCTAATGAGGAGGCAATATCCATTTGGTTCTTAATTGCGTCTGGCGTGCGTATATACCTGTGGTTCCTACCTCAGAGCTACTCTGCTGTAAATTTCTCCCGTATAATTTAGCAGTGGAGTCTAATTGATTTCAACCTGGTGCTGGCTGTTTGGTACATTATTAAAGACATCTTGGTTACAATAATCTAAATAATTTAAATGTCTTTGAAATGCTGTTATCAAGTGGCGGGTGACGGCTCAGGCTTCTTCCACCTGTTGGTTCGTGTGACCTGTCTTTTCTCAGGGTCTTTGTTGTTTCTCTCCACAGCCAGCCGTTTGCCCTTCATGAGCTGGTATCCTGGGAAACCCAGCACCTGTCTGTAGATCTGGGAGGTTGGTTTCTTTCTCTTCGTAATTTTTGGCCAGATGTGTGCCATCTGGGCCTGTGTAACATCCCTTCCAAGTTGCCCACTCCTCTTAGGATCTTTTAGCTGGAGACATACATCTAGGTGTGCAGAGTCAGCCTGCAGTAGGCTGTCAGCCCAGGATGTAAATTAATAACGTAAAAAAAAAAAAAAAAAAAAAAAAAAAGCTTGGTAGGCTTCCACAGCCCTTCCTGCAGCTTTTACACGCTTCTCCACCCCCCCACCCCCCCACCCCCCCACCCCTTTGCAGACAGAGCTGTGATTAGGGCTAAACTACCTGCTGACATTTTTCTGGTCTTTGAGAACTTCATACAGAGACTGGGGGAAACTGCAATGTTGAGATGTTTGTAGACGTTAACAGGGCTGCAGAGCTCACTTGGGCAGAGGAATTCTCTCCCACCTTCCCCTGCTTTGGAAAACATAGCTTCTAGGAGTTACATAAATGGGACACAACATATGTTTCACTACGCCCAGGCCTGTGTTTCTATGATTGAGAATGACCTGGTTTTTATCACCACTCAGACAACATAAATAATGACTCAGGGATGCTCTGGGCCTGTCCTCTCTCGGGCCCACAATATTTTGTATTGTGGTTCCTTGGAAAGTGGCTGTGATAAATGAAGAGGCAACTTCCATACACCACAGGCCCAGGGAATGCATTTATTTCCAGGGTTGGCTGTTTTCCTTTCTTCCCTCCAAAAAAGCCAAAAAAACTAAAACACCCCTGATGTTCCATGAGCAGAATAATGGAAACCAAGGGCTGTACAAATTTATAAGTTAAAAACCACACATCCAACACACTCCTGGAGCCAGAATAACTACCAGAGAGCCAGGCCACTTAGGGCCTTGCACTTTCTCCAGCAGCCTGTAATTTAGGAACAAAGCAAAAATCCAGGAGACTTTCACAATACATTTTTGTAAGTATAAATATGTGTGGGATGCACTTTTAAAGATTTATTTTATGTGTATGAGGGTGTTTTTTTTTTTCTGTACACAGATGTATGTGTACCACCTGCATGCCTGGTGCCTGAGGATGTCACAGGCCCAGAAACTGGAGTTATAGAGGGTTGTGAGCTGTCATGTGGATGCTGGCAGTCAACCTGGATCCTCTTTGAGAGGAGCAGGTGCTCTTAACCACTGAGCAATCCTGCCAGCCCCTTGCTTTTGTAACTATGGATACGTGTTTCTGTTTTATGAGCACACAAAAGCCATCATGAGTGCCTCTGTGGGACATGCACACCCAGTGCAACTGTTGCTAAATGCCTTCACTCTTCTGGGACATGCACACCCAGTGCAACTGTTGCTAAATGCCTTCACTCTTCTGGGACATGCACACCCAGTGCAACTGTTGCTAAATGCCTTCACTCTTCTGGGACATGCACACCCAGTGCAACTGTTGCTAAATGCCTTCACTCTTCTGGGACATGCACACCCAGTGCAACTGTTGCTAAATGCCTTCACTCTTCTTGTCTTTGCTTCCCAGATTTTGAGACAGGGACTCAGGCTGGACTGGAATTTGCTGTGTAGGAGAGGGTGACCTTGAAGTCCTGATCCTTCCATCTGAACCTCACTGGGATTCCACTGTGACCTGGGTTCTCATTTCCAAATAGCGAGGCTAGGGACAGTCATCTCCAGTGTCACATACTCATATGACAATGACTCTAAGATGTTTTGGCTCTCATTTAGCCACTCTGTGTAGACACTCAGCAATATGGCTCAGTGAGTGAAGGGGCTTGCTGCAAAGTCTGATGATTTGAGTTTGATCCCCACAACCCACGAGGTGAACAGGGAGAGTAGATTCCTATAAGTTGTCCTCTGATCTCCATATGTTTGAAGGCATGCACGGACACACACACACACACACACACACACACACACACACACACACACACACACACACACCAGTATAGTATTGATAGCACATGGGTAATATTCTGAATAATTGTTTACCTGAAATTCAAATTCAGCAGGCACTATAGTTGGGATTAGTAGAGTCCCCAGGAATACATGTGTTATAGGGTTATTCCCTCTGTATTGTAATTGGGAATCACTAGAAACTTCCAGAGGCAGAGCCTGGTGAGCAGGCATAGGTCTTTGTTGGTGTGCCCTCAGGAGGGATTGTTGGATTATGTGGCCTCTCTGAAGCCAATTTCACACAAGCTAGAGCCGCCTGAAAGGAGGGGCCTCAATTGAGGAAAAAAAAAAAAAACAAAAAAAAAAAAAAAACAAAAACCAAAAGAAGCTTCCAGAAGATCTGCCATAGGGCATTTTCTTAACTACTGATTGTTGGAGGAGGGTCCAGTCCATGGTGGGCGGTGCCATCCCTGGGCTGCTGGGTCCTGGGTTCTACAAGAAACGTCCTGTGCAAAGTCATGTGCAGCATGTCAGTAAGCAGCTCCCTCCATGGCCTCGGCATCAGCCCCTGCCTCCGGGTTCCTGTCCTGCTTGAGTTCCTGTCCTGACTTCCTTCAGTGATGGACTTAACAATGTGGAAATGTGAGCCAGATAAACCCTCTCCTCCTCAGCTTGCTTTAGATCATGGTGTTTCATCATAGGTAGTAACCCCTGAGACAGGAACCCCGGCCTCCTCTTCTGTGAGGTCTGTGAGGTCAGTGGGCTTTCTCTGACACACCCTTCTGCCATGATGTGTGTGACAGGCCCCAAAATGTCAGCCAATTAGTCATGGATGGACACTTTCCGAACTCCAAGCTAAAATAACCTTTCCTCCCTCTATGCTTGTGGTCCTGGGTGTTTGTCACGGTAGTGGGGAGCTGACTAATGCATGGGCATTCTGTAATTTCATTTGCAACCCTCAACTGGAGGCTCTCCTGTCACCGCCCCCCCCACACCCTTTCATTAGGAAAAATCAAGAGAGGAGGGGCAAGCAGCCCGCCCTTTCTCTAACTTGACTAAATCCCTATTCTCTGTCTATAACCCAGGAGGAGGAATTACCTCTAATCTTTTTATTATTCCTCTGTCATCAGTCTGGGCTGGGATTTAGCACTCACTTGCCATTCACAACCCATTCTTCCCATCCCTCACAGTGCTGATAACCCTGTTAGCGGACAGATAGGGGGAAAGCCTCAGCTACAGCAAGAAGAGGGAATCTGCAGGCACTCAAGAATTAAATTTTCTCGATGTTATCTGGTCTCTGAGCATTCGGTGACTTGTCACTGACATCTTTAGCCACGGTGATAATTGCAGCAGGGTCACCCAGAGGAGGAATTGCACCTGTCTCTGCCAGCCACACAGAGAGGCTGAGAGTTGAGAGCTTAATCCCAGTGGGAGCCTGGGTGGCAGTGGAGACATGGAATCAAGGCAGGGATTTGCTAGACACTTCCAGACTGATCAGTTTTGTCCCTCGCCATCCCAAGAAGCACACACGCTCCAAGTCTCTACCTCAGAGCTTCTGCCCTTGGGGCTCAGAATTTTACCTGCAATATCATCCATCTGGTGTGTTCAGGGAATCTCCTTCCGTTACATGGGTCTCAAGGGTTGAACTCAATTCCCCCAGGGAGAAGTTGTCTGAAGAGGGAATTTTGAACTGCCAACTTTGCATGACCTGGAGGAAGAACCTTCCCATGCAGAGGCTCTGAGGAAGCAGGAGTTTGGTGAGCTTTGCATCAGGTGGAGAGCCAGGGCAAGCACAGCTGACAGACGCAGGGGAAGTAACAAGCAAATTAGAGAGCTGAACTAGCTGGAGTCATAGGCGGGGCTTAACGGTACCGATTAGGAACGGAACTTTTGTTCTGACTGCAATGGGCAGCTATGGCTGGGCTTTCAGTTGTGTGGAGACTATGAATT